CTAGGATCTGGAACCAACTTCCAAGGGAAGTGGTGCTGGGGGTCTTTAAGAGGAGGATTGACAATTACCTAGCTGGGGTCATATGAGCCTAGTATTCACTCCTGCCCAGGGCAGGGGGTTGAACATGATCTACTTAGGTCCCTTCCGACCCTACAGCTATGAAACAGCTAGCACTTTTCTGGTTTAAGACTAGTTTTGGCCCCTTTCTAAATCTGATACCAATGCTTCTCACATGTGAAAAAAGTAGAACAAGGAGAAATGTCATTCAATAGTAGAGTGTATGAAGAAATCAACAATATACAGCAGAGGGGCCAATTTAAAATGGACAGAAAACAATTTCCCCCTATCGCAACATCCCACAGAACCTCCCTAGGGTGGATAAAAGAACCAAACATGGGCAAGAAGGAAGCTGTTTAGCCTTGACTAATTAAAAACTTCTCTAATCCCTCTGACACCTTTTCCTTTGCTAATTCATCCACCTTTTTTACATCTGGAATACTTTGGATCATAAATTAGCTGTAAGAGTTTTCACTGCTGGATGGGAAGTAAGAGGGGGTCTTTTGGCCCCAGATATTACTTATTAATGGTATTAATAACACGAGGCTTGTGAGATCACGGAGTAGTGCTGTGTCACAGGTGCCTGTTAATGCTTCAGTTGCTCTAGAAAGGCCTTTGTGTCAGCATCAGGGAATGACAGTGAAAGAAATCGTCAGGAAACGTGATGTACGTGCTAACAGCAGGATCCCGGAGGAAGACAGACATTCCATGGAGAACATACACACGCAATAATTATGCAGGAAAGCAAAATTCTGCTTTATAACACAAGCCTGCCTCCTAGCCCTGACCTGTGGCCATGTTCAGTCTTCATTCCTGTCTTGAGTTACAGTGGAAAGATTTTGCTTGTTTGTTTGAACCAGTCCTTGAGTCTTTCCCAGTCTTGGCCTAAATCCTGGATTTGCTTGGCTTGTAATTTCATTCTGTCTCTCAGAGTCCAGCGTGCCTCTCAGTTTTATACCAGGGACACAAATGTGGAGCTGTTTGGAAATAATCTTCATAGCTTGTGTTGCATACCTATAGGGGTATAGGCAGCTGCTGGGAACAGAGTCCTACAGGAATTGACTCTGGACTGTTTTTACCAAGATCCAGTTACAGCACAGGGATGGTGTCGGACTCCCCGCTCTGGGTAATGTGGTGAGGTGATTGCTGGGAAGATTGCAGCCAGGTGGGTACCCAGTTTCTTACTCTGGAACCTAGCATCTCCAGGCTTTTACTTCTGGACTAGTCCTATCACAGACACCCCTGACATCCAGCTGTTTAATAAAAATGAAATGTTAAAAAACATATGCATCTTTTAGAACGTACTGTACAGTTATTGTAACATCCATTCTTGGGTTGGCTATCTTCATCTGAGCGGCTTGTCACAGCAATCTGCACTGTCAGAGGGTTTAGTTATTGCACAGAATTCACCAGTTTTAGATGGTTTGGGTGATGCAGAACCTTGGTAAAGGCTGAATTTTAGACTTGGGATAAGGTATAAGATCTGGATTGGATGGTGTAAATCTGATCTCTCTCTAGAACAGATTGAGTTGGAATGTTCAAATTTGCATCCAGCCTCTCTCTCTGTCCCTCTGGGACATGCCTTATTAGCTTGCCTTGTTGCTGAAATTAGTACTTTGGAAGTTTATTTTGCTGGCTGGAATGTTCCTTTATCCACACACAGTCCTAAAAAAATAGCCTGATCTCCCTCCATTCTTATTATGACTTTGTGCCTTGTCATTTCCTATTCAATGCTGCCTTGGCTCTATTGATGCTGAGTTGTTGATCTGGTGCACAGGAAATGTATTGCATTGTTTTTTCAGGTCTCTTCTGTTCATGAATGTGGTTTTTTTCAGGGGCTTCAACTTCATTGAGCTTAAGTCCATTTCCTACACACAGTACAATTCAAATGAGCCTAACAAATAGGCCACCAAAAGAAAAGTCATTAGAAGTTCATGCTAAGAATAGAAGAACTTGAAGAGTTCAGCTATGTGACCTCCTTCAGGAATTGAATACAATATAGACGTGCTGCTCTGTTTTTTCTTTTTTTGTTTGCAGTGTAACAGAAAAAAACATGGTGAATTCCAAAACAAGGCCAGGCCCTTCTGCTTGTTCCCAGTGCTCCTGGAACAACAATGCTAAAGAATATTTTGGCTGTTAGCTGAAATCTGGGCAATGACATGCAAATGAGCTATGCAATGGTCCTTTAACTTTCCTTGCAGTTTCAGCTTGGTATACCATTGATTTTCTGTTGTACAGTGCTTATAAATGCCTACCGTCTTTTCCCCATAAAGTGGATGAAGTTATCTACTAGATACAGCCATTACAGCCTGGCTAGTAGAGCACTTTAGGATCTTCAGGTGAAAGCTGCTTTATCAGTGTCAGTCAGTCCTTTGTTGGTGAAACAAAAATATGTCCTCCAAAAAAGCTGGTTAAAAGCTAATGATATTCAGGTACTGGTAACCGGTATTGCCAAGTCTGCTTGGCCACACAAGTGGAATTGAGCTTGTTTTTTGTTGGGTTTTTTAAAGTTTTTTTAAGTTTCTATTTGAAATGGATTGGGCTTGTTTTTAAAGGCAGTGACGCTTTTTTTTTCTCATGAAACTTGGCAACACTGGTGGTAACTTAGGAGTTTAATAGAAACTCTTAGATAAATGAGATATTGTACTAACTAGTAACAGTCTAGATGTGTTCTTAATTTTAAAACTGTTTTGTCACCTTTTCTTTTGCATCTTAACATCTTCTTCATTATAGATCTTTAAAAAAATCCCTAAAAGACTAGAGAATTAGTTATGGGCATCTCTGTGTCTTGCCTAAGTATTTTTCCATTTCCAATGTAAACATCAAATCAGTGCATCTGCCCCTCCAGTATACTTTGCATATAAGGTATTACTGCAACATTTTTGGATAAAGAAGTGCATTTGGGGACAAAAAGTAAAGACTGTTTCCCAGTAGCATTTTGAAATGCCAGATTATTCCTGGATTCTTGCTGTGTAAAGTTAAATATTAGTCACTCTTCCCTGACAGACTTTTATTTAAGAGGCTTAATATTTAACTTGAAAGCCCTGGCAATCACAAACACTAAGTGCTGTGTGTTGCCATGTTCTGTAGGAGATGTGCAAAGCAGACTCTCAAAATCATGATTTTGATTTATTTAGGTGTGTGTAACCGTCTCTGGGCTCAGTAACCTGTTTTTTCATTGGAACAAAATACATGCACATTATTCATTTCACAGTAATACCTAGAAATGGAAAACTGTGGCCATTAGCTACTGACTGTAGTGAGAATAATAGGGTTGAAACAGGATGGCTTTCTGGTATTCACTGAAGGACTGATCCTTTCTTCATACCCAGTGTTCCTTGTCTCAGATTAGTGTCTAAACGGAGATTGGTACATTGCCTCCTTCTTTTGTTTGATCTGTCCTTTGTGTGGCAGATTGATTCTCTCTGGTTCTAGGATGATTTTCCAGTGATAACATAGGGCTCAAAGCCAAGCTGAGAGGACTGGGTTAATCATTACTGTGCCTGGTTCCTGCAAAGTGTCTTACTGCAATTGAAAATGGACCCACGTTCTGGAAACCACGACGTGTTACATAAAGCACGAACGTGTGAACAAGTTCCTTTAGCTCCCTGTCCTGCTGCGGCTGCGCCTACTGGCTAGCATGGCTGAAGGGCCTCACTGGGAGATGGGGCCCAAAGCCCCCCTGGGCAGCAAAGGCAGGGCCTGCCCTTCCCAAGGGATTCTAGCAATGCTTAGGGCCCCGTGTGCTGGGGGTTGGCCTGAGCGGTGGGAGACTCTCGGGACTTGTCCGGGTCCAGCCCAGGGTGGCTGGGGCCAAGTGGCAGCTGGGCCGTGGAGAGAGCCTGGGACGTGGCCATCAGACCTTTGGACACCGGCCCTGGCCCGGGCCCCAGAAGGGGCAGCCTCAGCTGGCCCTCTGAGGCAGCGGCGTGCCCGGGCGGGGGCGGGGGGTCCTGCCGGGGGCGTAGCCAAAGGGCCCCGGGGAGAGGTCCTGTTGGGGGCGTGGCCCGGCTGGGGGCGTGC